GTTTCAGCTAATATGAGACCAAATTCTGACCTAATGTCCCATTAAAACGGTTTTATGGATTTATCTTCGGTTATTTCACAGGGGAACTGGCTATGGCTTAGTTACACTGTAAAACCTTCAAAGTGATTTAGTGTTGCTGCAGACTTGAGCAAATTGATGGGGCTGTTTCTGCTTTTGATTATAGAAATTGGAAGCTTATTTTTTAATCAAAATTGGGACACCACAACACTTATGTCGTTTTACATTTACTATATCACAAGCTAAGCACATCATCAGATGAACTCTTAATGATTATTAAAGAAAACAACTAAAGCACGTATAAACATCGTTCACATCAGTACTCACAATCCAGCTCCTCCTCTTCATTTTCCTCCTCTTCCTCCTCCTCCTCTTCTCCTTCATCTTCTGGATTAAAAGACAAGCTGGCTATTTTTCTCTTCTGTTCCTCCTTCCTCTTCTTCTCTTTTTGCTTCTCAAGCTTGCTGCAAAGAGGAAAACAAATACAATGAACAACTGACGTCACAAGTTGGAAGATGAATGGCCAAAAATGATCACACTCTGTTTATTTTACCCCTTTTTAAATGCCTTTTCAATAAACCATATATATTTTCTTTGCAGGACTAAAACTCAAGTAACAACTGTTTTATTATTAAGAATATTGTCATCCAAGAACAGGAGGTTCTTCTCTAGGCACCTGGGGATAGACTGTCTTTTATCTTGGCTCTGTTGTGCTAGTTATGACGTCAGGATAGTCTCAAGTTAGTGTTTTGTTTTGTATGATTGCTAGGTTATGACTGTTTTCCCTGGCAAAACAGTACCACAAGAATGCTACTCGACCTCCGTTTCAACTACAGTGGAGGAGTACTACAACAACAGCTGGGAAACAAGCTTCAGTGCAAGTAAGGACAACTTTTTGGAATTAGAGAGCCCTCTCTTACAAATGAGAAGGAAACTTGGAAGAGTCAGGCGGAGATGAAAGAAGGTTCTTGGACCACAGTCAATTTCCTCTCAGCTATACTAGCACAAGCAGACCTCTTTGTATACATGACTCGATAGTCTCTAAATCAACTTCACTGATAGTTAGCACTATATAAATAATTTGTAGGAGTTTCTCAATCCCCCCCAGTTGCATAAATATCTGTTTTATTGGTAAACTTTAAGGAAATAAACATGATTGTAAAGAATTAAAACATTTAATAGTACTTTATATGCTCTGTTCTCCATTCACACTCCATTCACCTGCTTATTGGATGGTTGGATAGCCTCAGAAAAACATTTCCCACACACTTTCCTAACATTTAAATGGGGGAAACTTACGACCCATATGCACATCTAGGGTTAGGCATCTACCTCTGGTGGTTAATAATAAGATGGTTGAAGTAGGGAAAAAGGTGTTGGTATGGTAATCTTGTATAGAGGCCATGATTAAGTCCATTAAAGGTCACATATTATTCTCATTTTCAACCAGTTTAAATAAGTCTCAGAGCTCCCAAAAAACATGTCTGTTTCTCACCAAATATCCACTCTGATCCTGTACTTTATCATGTCTATAAATGCCTCTATTTCAGCCCTGCTCAGAACAGGATGTTTTAAATGCAAATGTGTTGCGTACGACAACGCCCCTCTCTGGAAGGGCTTGGGTGTCTCTGGCTTTCTCGCTCCATGCCCTATAGTTTACAGTGAGCAGGCAGACTCAGAGGGCAGAACAAACACCTAGCTGTGGGAGTGTCTGCCCTTTGTGATGTCACAAAGGGAAATCTCCAAACGGCCTGTTTGAGCACACATTATCTGAAAAGTGGACAAAAAATGTATTTTACATAATCTGTAAGTTATTATTCAGGGGTGACGGATGGGTCAAAGAAATACAGATCCTTTCCCAAGGAGACTGGAGTCGGTGTGAACCATGTGAAGACTATAGTCCAGACCATAGACTGTAAAAATAGACATATCCAATAAACACAATCTAATGTGAGCAGCTCACTGATTTTCACACAACATCACTACCTCTTTTCTTAACTTAACCGAGTAGTCTTGCTCTCTAAACCTCACCTGACTGCAACAATTTCCTAACAACATTAACCAGGTGTCTAGAACAAATATTTAGGTATGAGTAGACAGGCTATCTGCTGAGTTTATGAGCGCCTTTGTAGGAAACAGGAAGTTTATACATCTTGTATCCTGGGCAACACTGAAAGACTGCCTCATCACATCTCTCAAAAAATGTAACACTGGTGTTTATAGTGACCAGCCAGTCTTTTAAAGCCATGTGCTTTACATCCCCTTTAAATATTGAGCCAGTAGTAAATAACTCACAGCTGGAGCTCCTTCGATTGCTCCTTCTTGGCCAGCTGTTTCTCTCGCTCCTTGACCAGCGCCTCCTGCTTGGCCTTCATGTCATTCAGTGTCACCAGACCTGATCAAGACATCAATAAAATGATTACACTCAAACAACTATCACATCAATATGTTCTGTCAATGTCATTCAAAAATATCTTATGAACAAAGTCAATAGAATGATTTAAAGTTATGTTACTTGGCATTAGAGATGTTAAAAATTAAACCCATTAAAAATATATCAACCGACAATCTGTTTACAATTTTACTGGTGGTCACATGTAATACCAATTTTTCACCAAAATAGTGAATCCTTCACCTTTGCAACACAGAAAAACTACTGCTAGTACTCCTAAAGGAAGAAGCGGTACTGAGAAAAGTGAGGCAAAAATAAAGCGGTCAACAGAGTGTTTTTTTCCCACTTACCGTCAATAGACTGAGAACACAACTCACCACTGATCACGTACATATGATCATCTTTCTAAATAAAACCGACTCACTCCTGATTTATTTACTGTGTATGTATTCTTCTGTTGATTTGATTTGCTTTAATAACCTGCTGCTGTTACACCTACATGTCCCAGTTAGGGATCAATAAAGTACATCATCAATGTATGTATGTTGAACCTAAGCAGCTGGCTGTAAATAAAAGTACATGTTTGACATTTGGCCCAGGTGGATATGACTTCAAACTGACCTTTTTTTTGTTTTTTTTTTCTTTACAGGAAAAAAACATCGAGATATATTGTGCATTTCCTTTCAGCTTTAAAAAAAATAGAGATATGAAAAAGTGGATATAGGACTTTTGTGTCTCTGTTCATGTCTTCAAATTCAGGGTGGAGATGTGTTATTTTGGGGGACATCCTGATACTTGGGGCATTATGTGATGAAGTGGAGCTCTGTCTCTACCTGTAAGGTGGATTTGTTTTGTTTGTGTATTGTGGTTTTAAAGAGACATACTCACCAACAGTGCTGGACTTCAGCTCGGCCTCGACAGCATCATAATGAGCTGAGAACTTCTTATCAATATTAGACTTGACCATGTTGTCCTGGAAACAGAAACAGAGACAGTGTCTTGTTTTATTTAATCAGTGTTATGTGACCGACGGTAACCTCTTCACTGACACAGGAAGGGGTAGCTATCAGTGGGGTGCTAGCATAACGGCTACTAGCTTATAGCAAACACGCTGAGCTTACTCACATTATTACCCAAATGAATTAACCAGTTTATATTTTGTAATAAAAAGTTACAAACCTCGGCAATCTTCTGCTTCAGCTGTTCGAGCTGTTCTCTTTCTTTTTCTCGTTTCTTCATGAGCTGCATGGCTCTCCCAGCCTCACTGGCTGCTCCCTTGTACTGCGCCATGTCGCTTACTTTTTGTCAACGATTTCTTTCGACAACTTTTAAGACACAATAAACCGTAAGGACAAGTCAAATTGTAAAAGAAATACCGGTAACAGATTAATCTACAACTGTGAATGCACACCGACTACCAACACATCAGCCACAACAAGAAAAATGGCTGCGACAAAAGAGCATTATGGGTAGTTTGATGATGATGCATTCAAGTTCCCCAAAAATCCTCGGAATTACGATCGAGTTTCAAAAAGTGTTGATTTAAAAGAGATAAAACTATGAGAGTATATAACTGTATTGTCTGTACTATTTTCTCCAAATGATTACACAGCTATTGTCACAATTAATTTTCTTTAAAGCTAAGGTCAAAACCTATTCTCCCTAGCATACAAGTAGTTCTACTTTTTGTGTGTGTGTATATGTGATATATAGGTCATTTTTTTCATTTTTTTCAACATTAATGCCGTTTTTTTACATAGGTATGTATGTAGTTTTTTTTAGACATGTGTATGTATTCTGTTTTTGTCAACATAGGTATGTATGTCAATTTTTTTGGACATTGGTATGTCATTTTTTCCTTTTATTCAAACTTTGGCATGTATGTCGTTATTTTCGACATGGGTATGTATGTTGTTATTTTCAACATGGGTATGTATGTTGTTATTTTCAACATGGGTACGTATGACATTTTCTTTCATTTTTTCTGTCATTATTTTCGACATAGGTATGTATCTTGTTTTTTCAAAATAGGTTTTTGAAATTCTGTTTTTACACTCTGTAAGTCATGCAACAGGCTGAAGTATATACACACATGCAGAAACAGGATCCTATGGACTTGCACTAATGGAGAGATGTCAGAGTGATGGAGCAGCCCCCGGCAGGGCGCTCCTGAGCTGGTGGCGGGTAGGGGGTTTGGTGCCTTGCTTAAGGGCACCTCGGCAGTGCTCAGGAAGCGATCTGGCACCTCTCCAGCTACCAGACCAAGTTCCATATTTGGTCCGCATCGGACTTGAACCTCAACCCTCCGGTTCCCAACTCAAGTCCCTACAGACTGAGCTACTGCCTCCCCCAGGTGGCATAAAGGTGTGTGTTTTAATGAAGGTGTATGTATGTACGCTTCAATAAAGTATGTATGTATGTTTTTAATAAAGGTATATGTATGTATGTTTTAATAAAGGTGTATGTAAACCAAAACAATAATTTCGAATTTCACCCTTTAAGAAATACAACAGGGTAACAGAATACAGGAGGTTTAAAAACATTTTATTAATGGGGTTTTGCACTTTAGTACAACATTTGATTTCAGCATAGTTTTAATAATATTACAAAATAATAATAAGCTATCATGTAGAAAACATATGACACAGTATTAACATCACCAGGCTGCAGAATAATAATACAAAATCAAATAAAAAAAGGTTACATCTCTCTCTCTCTCTCTCTCTCTCTCTCTCTCTCTCTCTCTCTCTCTTTCTCTCAAACATTCAAACAGCCTCCTTGTCTCTTGTCGGATGCCAGTCCTTTTTGGACAGTAAAACGTTGATTTGGCTGCAGCAGAGAGCTAGAGATGTGCAGAAGGGAGAGATGAAAACATTCACAGAACACAGACACAATGACCGCAGGCACGGGACGAAGGTGTTGCTCAGCTGTATGCAAGGCACTAAAAACCTGGAGAGAGAGATAGAAAGAGAGAGAGGGGGAGACAGAAAGAGAGAATATTTTCAATAATTTGAGATTACCTTTAAAAAATCAGATGGAAGTTTTATCCACTACAATCCCATGCAGAGAGATGCTGTGTGCCTTAATGCAGGACATGGCTATAACAAAAATTGTGTACCATGTTATAGGGTTTCTTCCATGTTTATTCAATTTGAGTGAATGATATTACTGAGTCAGACACCAATGTAGATCCATGGGGGTGTAATTTTATTGCTCCAGCATACCAGACATGTAGACTGGCAAGAATGGCCAGGAATACACCACAGAGGAGCGCCAAGGGCACAGCAAACAGCAAGGAGAGGCAGCGGTATGTCCAGATACGAGTCTTCTCAAAGCCTGAGACGCTATAAAACCACACCTGGTCTATGCTATGAGGTGTGGTGGGCTCCACCAGCACGTCACTGACCTCCACCTGCAGATAGTAAACAGCAAAGAGTAAAGAGAAGTCAGTTTATTTAAAGAGCAAATTAAGTATTTCCTGAAGTGCTACAGTGCTTTAGGTGAGACAGAAACAACGGGTCGACTCATAGAGACTTATGGTTTAAAACTGCTGAGACAAAAAGCACGACTAGAAACAAAATATTGAATTCTAAAGAAGAATCTAATTTCTCATTTGATGATGGAAATTGTAGCAATGTAGCAAAAATCAAGCAAAAAGCTATTGACGACGGAGGCAAATTCCTTTTGTGGCAGGAAGCAAAATATTGATTTTAAGATTTAAGGACTCTCATGTTCTAACACTGCAGATTCATAAATTAGAGAAGAAATAGTTGGGAGGACCTTTAGGTGCTTATTGATGCCGTAAGGGTCTCTGTTGACAGGCTGGGCGGATGAAGGTGTAGGTGTTGGTGTAGGTGTTGGCGTGGGTGTGGGCGTAGCAGGGGCTGTGGGAGGGGTTGGTGGTTTTGGCACTGGAGTCGAGGCTTTAGACGCAAACTCTGGAGGAGGTGGAGGAATTTTTAATTGTTCCTCTTCTCCGTTTTCTTCTTCGCTGTCATCATCGATCTTACACTCCACAAGACAGTCATCGCTCACCATCATCATCCTTACTGAGGAAAGAGAGACATGCAAACACAGTTAAATATACAGTGATGCCTGCTGCCAATCAAACACACTTATAATCAAAACCAAAGCAAGCACACACACACACACACACACACACACACACACACACACACACACACACACACACACACACACACACACACACACACACACACACACACACACACAGACAGCAGATCTCAGGCATGTTGAGTGTAACAGCGAGCTGAGCACTGGCACTACCACCTGTTTTTTAGCCCACAAGAAGAAGCCACACCAAAATCTGTAAATAGCAGCTGGTTATTTCTAAGGGCCTTTTTAAAATTAAACACATACAGTATCATCATTCTGTATCACTGTTCTTGCATTAAATGTTTCACTTTTTTGAACTTGAGATATAACTACAATTATTAATAGCTAATTAATAGACTTTGAATTAACATTTATGTGTGAGATTTGGCACAAAACATGCATTAAAAAAAGTGCTAAAAGGCGACAACTGTAATCATGACTTGTATATTTTTTTGAGAGGTCACTGTAGTAGGTCTTTGCCAGCATTGGTAGAAGTTATAAGAACATGTCTGACTTACCTCTTTCACTGGGTAATCTTGTATCAATAAAAGAGGCCCTTGCAGAGAGCCAAGGCTGGGATGTCTCTGCAGAAAAGTGCTAATCCAAAACGTGAATGAGATCCGGCCAACCTGCTAATCACAATGTCCCCATAGGGCTTATCTCAGCTCACACAGACACCTTTAGTGTGTTTGACAGACTTAGAGCAGCACGAGTGCTAATGTGGCACAGTGCCTGTTATTCCTTGTGTGTGCATGTGTGTGTGTGTGTGTCAGTGTTTGTGCGTCAGTGTGTGTCAGTGTTTGTCAGTGTGTGTGTGTATGTGTGTCTGTAGAAGGGGTTATTTTAGGAAGACGAAGGGGTGGGTCTAAAAGATCACATTACAGTGCTTGGGTGCAGTTGTGAGACAGAAACTGAAACAATGAGGTGCACATGTGTACACAACACACACACACGTGTGTGCATTGGATGCATTGTGTATTGTGATTAGTCAGAATCAGGGGCAGATTTCTGTTTTTTATTTGGGCTGGCAAGAGACTTTGGCAGAGGGCTTGAAAGGGTGATGGTCGGGGATCCCCAAATGTACTACCAAATTCAACCTGAGGGACTTTCCCCATGTAGGGATGAGGAACCTTTGGAGGACCTCACTGGTTTCCAATGAAGAGACGAGGGTCTAAATTAAGTTCTAGGAACATTTCTTCCCGTTTGGGTGGGACGTCTATTCCAAAAGAAGGCCTACAAAAACTTTGCTGGTGCAAAACAATTCACTTAACGATCATTGCGTTTTGCTTGTTATGGTGTAATTGTTTTATGGTCATCCACATTAGAGCTTAAAATAGCTGATGCTTTTTTTTTTGTACCTTAGTTGACTTAAAACTGGCGGAAACTGTGTGAAATGACCCGATTTCTGAGCCCACACACGATGGGTTTTTATAGTTGAAAGATAAGATAAGATCATTTAAATTAAGATAATAAGCACAGAAATATGTTATTCTGCTGGTCTGTGTTTTTGTCTGTGATATCCAAACATATGTATGGTTATGGAAAATTGCGACTCAAGTCATGTCTAAACTTGGAAACAGGGATAGAGTGCATTACATGTTTTGGCAGATAGAGTTTTAGGAGTCATCTGTAGGTTTCAGACTAAATGGTAAATGGTAAGTAGACTTCAGCTTGTATAGCACTTTTCAAGTCTTCTGACTACTCAAAGAGCTTTTACAGCGCAGGTCACACCTACACATTCACACACTGATGGTAGAGGCTGCTATTAAAGGTGACCATCACAAGAAACTAATCCCATTCATACACATTCACACACTGTCGACAAAGCAGCGGGAGCAACTTGATGTTAAGTGTCTTACTCAACAGCTGAGGATTGAACCTGAAATCTTGCAGCTGAGACAACCGGTGCCCTTTCTGAATAGCCACAGTTCAGTAGGCAGTACGTACTATTCAGTATGGAGTTTCAGTATACTGAACTTTCATGGTCATTCAGCATGCATTTCTTGGGTCCACCTCAGTATACTGAACATTTCAGTATGGATACTAACTTCAGGGTTTTATGCAGTATGGATCGGATGCGTGCTTTCAGGAAATGAATTGTATTTTACCACCCACAATGCTGTGCGAAATTAAACGTAAATCGTCACGCCCGCCTCCAAATCAAAACCGAGCGTGGATTAATTGAATCAATTTTTAAGTCTCGACTGAAATCACTACTTTTAATTAACAACAGAAAATATAACAAATGTCTGCATTATTATAAAACCTTTCTCCCTCTATTTAAATAATGATTTCACTATTTAAATGCGTCTTTATTGGTTTATTTTACTTTGTATTCTGTATATTACTGTCTTTCATTTCTACTTTTCTTTATGTAGGGTACTGTATGTTATTTAGTTATTTAATCTGTCTTTTACTTGATTTACATTGTCATATTGGTTTTTTTTTTACCTGACTGTATATGCGCATTACTCTTCTTAGGGTTAGCTAAACAAAAAAAACAAAAAAAAAACGGGTGAATGCGGCTGGTTCGGGAAACGTAAATGACGTCACTTCCTTACTGAATGAATCAGAAGAAGTAGGCACAAATATCTGCCTACTGTGTGTGCATACTGAACAGTAGGTACTAACAGTATACAGCACGCATAGTAGGTACTGTCTACTGCCTACTGACAGATTGAGTAGGTACTTGGCAATTCGGATACAGCCCGACTCTAACAACTGAGCCACAGCTGCCCCTCACAGACTAGTTCCCTGTAGATCCGTCCCTGGATTATAGTCATGTAAGCAGTTTAAGTACACTGACAACCATTTAATCATTCATCACTTTATCATCTTTATTGTATTCATATTTTTGTTAACCACATATACAGTTGGACACAGTAAATTTAGTGACATCATCAAACAGTGATCCAGAATAACGGGGTGTTAAATCATCAAAGCAGAATTAATGAAAAAAAGAAAGAAAAAAGGATTCAACTCCCATGATGCCAATACTGAAACACGACAGAGGAGAGATGATATGAATGTAAACTTTTCAAAAGCTTTTGGAGTCAAAGTAATTTTACACCTCACTGCAAAAATCCTGAAACGCATGTTTGAATGAGACCCGTGCACAATGCGAGAGAAAGTCAGGGGGGCCAAAATGTGCGGATGAAAGAGACAAGAGTTTTGAACGTGGCTCCGAAATGTCAACGTCGTTTTCACAGTTTAAAGCAGAGGAAGTCACTGTTTCCTCTCTGAAATGGGGGCCATTTTGGCTCTTGAGGCTAGGGCACAGTTTCCAGTTGAAGAGTCAGTAAACCAAAGCCCTGAGTGAGAAACTCTTACTTATTCCTTCGAAACCAAACCTGAGCTAGCCTTTCTCTAACTCTAGCAAAAGCCCTGAGTTTTGGCCTGCATATTGGGCCTCGTATCACATATGAAGGGGAATGTCTTTTCCATCTTTATGTGTGTGTGTATGTGTGTATATGTATGTGTGCGTGTATGTGTGTGAGAATACTGCATGCCGTTATAAAGTACTAACTTCACTGCTTACATTTTCCCAGCAAACATCTGTGACCCAAAATGATCATTATCAAAAACATGTGAAATGAATATTCACATAAATAAATTGCCTAAATGAAACAGTTTCTGACATGATGCAAGAAATTACAGGAGGAAAAAAGGAATTTACTTCAAAATGTTTTATCTTCATTTATTTAAAATTAATAAATTAAATAAGATTTTTGTTTATGAAAGCATTTCACTTTTTTGTCACTTTCCGTTATCTTTTTGTGCCCTCTCACCTTTAAGCTAATCAAATGCCCCCTGCCTCATAAGGTCACAAGTTCAACAACTTCGCTAATTAGCCTGCTAACTCCTGCAAGCTAGACAACAATTATGTCACATAAAAGTGGCTAAACTATCTATCTGCTACTGTGAATTGGCAAAAAACAAACCCCTTTTTTAATTTTTATGGCGTCACAACTGCAACTAAGTAGCTAACAACTAGCTAAAACTAGCTCGGAGAGTTGAGTTCTTTTAGTTAACTCGGTTAGCTTGTTAGCCTTGCTAGCTATAACAAGTTAGGTAGGAAGCATGAGCAGCCTTGTCAAGCTAAGGCTTTAAAAATTACTAAAAGCTTTACTGCTGCTGCATGGTTACACTTATTTTTAGTATAATTAATTAAAAATAACTGACAGGTTTGTTGCATAAGCTAACAGGAGCTAACTGGCTAATGTTAGCAGTTGTTGAACTTGCTCACTGCTGGCATGAGAAGTGATAGTAAACAAATTGTGTGAAATAAAAAAACAGACATTTGAGAAAGGGAATTTTCTAATAAAAAAATAAAAATAAAACTCAATAAAATTCACTGACAAATAATGTACCAAACATGTAAAACAAGTGGGGATTTAGCTGTTTTGCTAATTAAAGGTTGATATTGTATTTCACCTAATTTAGGCAATTTAGGTCATAATTTGGTAATAATTTGGTAATAATTTCACAATTTAATATTGACAACTTTGTGTAGTTACATAAACAGATCAAATTATTTTTTTAAACAAAATGCAAACCGGTCAAAACTTTTCAAGTAAAATAATGTTAAAAGCAAAAGATGTAAAGGCACTCAGGCCCCAGATGAGTTCTTTCATGAAGATAAACCGAACACTGTAAGGGTGAGCTAATCTCAGATCTGCCACTAAGGGGCAGTGTCAGTCTTTTCTTTGAGGATTTTTTTTTTATGGCAATCACTTAAAAAAGTCAGTCTGGTAGTTTCTCTGCTGATGTCAATCCCTGATTCTCCCAAAATGGCAAAAAGCTTTGAGAACAAAACCAGACGACAACATAAACCAAAAACCAGCTGAAAAACAGACACACTGGACATACAGTAACACGGCACCGAGACTAGTGGCACTATGAGATGGCAGAGACGCGAATATTATACACCTGTCAAAATAAAATAATTCAAGATTTTCACCAAATGTATCATCAGCATAATAATCATTTTTAAACAATAATGATTCCATTCACCC